TGGTATATCAGTTATGGAACCAGTGCATGAATTTCAAAATATTTTGTATGATCTAAAAAGAAAAGGAATGGATTTATCTAATATTCTTTTGGTTGTTCACTAATTAAAAATTACCTCCATCTTGGTCAGAATTTGGTGGAATGTTAAAACAAAAACATGATGATTATACCTTTGATGAATTATTAGTATCTCTAAATATCGAGGAAAAGCACAGTTCTGATTTTCAAGCCAAGGCACTTTTTTTTGTAGAAAATCTTAAACCCAAACTTTTTAATTTTAAGAAAAATGGTGCACACAAGAATGGGAATAACAATCTTAATAATAAATCAAAAGGCAAAAAATATTATTCAGAGAAAAATAGTGCCTTGTTAGTTGTGTGGGAAAACTAATCACACTGCTAGAGATTGTTATCATCGAAAAGGTCAACCCCATAAACCCCGTGGTTCTCCAGTAACCTTTAAACCACAAGCTACTGTTATGACTGTGGGGGCCAGCTCCACTAACCCTGCTAGCAGGTATTTTATTAGTGATCCCAAGTTAAATATTGTTTTTAACTCAAATGATTGGTTTATAGACTCGGGTGCTAATGTTCATGTGTGCGCTAATATAAATATTTTTCACCTTATTATCCGGAATCGAGCACAAGAACTGTAAGCATGGGAAATGGGAGCTTGGCTAGGGTACTAGGTGAAGGACAAGTTAGGCTGAAATTGACATCAAGCAATATAATCACCTTAGATGGAGTTTTGCATGTTCCTGATATTAGGAAAATTTTAATTAGTGCATCTTTGGTAGTTTAGCATGGTTTTCAAGTTATTTTTAAATCAAATACAACTGTAATAACTAAGAATGGTAACTTTATTGGTAAATGTTATCTTTGTGATGGTTTCTTTAGTCTTCATGTTATGGATTCTGATTTAAATAAAATTGCATGTTATTCTTTCTCTCCTTCTTCTATTTCTAATGTGGAATGTTCTAATACTTGGCATGTAAATTTGAACACTATTAAAAGAATGATGAGTTTAGAATTAATTTCAAAATTTGTAACTAATTTAAAGGACAGATGTCAAATATGTGTATAAGCTAAACAAACAAAAAAACTTTCAAATCTGTTGAAAAAGATACATCTTTGTTACAACTTATACATAGTGATACACATGACCTTAACAATGTGTTAACTCGTGGTGAAAAAAGATATTTTATTACGTTTATTGATGATTTTCTAAATATTGCTATGTATATTTAATAAGTTACAAAAGTGAATTATTTGATAAATTTATGTATTAAATTTAAAATATATAAAGCTTGTGTAGAAAATCAATTATAATAGAAAATTAAAATCTTAAGGTCTGATGGAGGAGGCAAGTATGCACCAATAGAAATGGAAGATTTTTGTAAACAATATGGAATTATTCACCAATGGTCCACCTTATTCATCACAATCTAATGTAGTAGAAAAATGTAAAAATCAAACATTGCTAGATATGATAAATGCTATGTTAGCTAGTTTCGATTTACTTAACAATTTGTGGGGTGAAGCTTTATATTCTGCTTGTCATATATTAAATAAAGTGTCTTACAAAAATTCGGAAAAAGAACCTTATGAAATTTGAAAAAATCAAAAGTCTAGTATAAAATATTTCGAAGTGTGGGGGTGCTTAGCTAAAGTTCTAATACCAATTACTAAGAAAAGAAAATTAAGATAAAAAACTGTTGATTGTGTATTTATTGGGTATGCCTTAGATAATGTTGGTTATAGATTCTTAGTAATTAATTCTAATAATGTTAGATAATGTTGGTTATAGATTCTTAGTAATCTAGTTATTATTAATGATTCTAAGAATTTCTTATCTAGCGATTTTGATAGGAAGGATTTAGTCCTAGCTAATGTTATATTGGGTATTAAAATAATTGAAAGTTATAAAGGAATTGTTTTGTCACAAGAACATTATGTTGACCGATTGATAAAGAAATTTAATTATTGCGATGTGAATTGCATCTACTCCATTTGGTCCTAATATTCGCTTAAAGAAAAATATGGGTGAAAGTATTTCTCAACATAAATGTGCTCAAATAAAAGGATCTTTGATGTATCTTTCTAATTGCGCAAGGCCTAATATTTCTTTTATTGTTTGTATATTGAGTCGTTACACTATTAATCATACTTTAGAACATTTGAATGCAATTGAAAGAACTTTTAAATACCTTGAAGGTACAATAAATTATGAAATCCATTTTTGTGGGTTTCATTGAATCTAATGAAACTAAGCAACTAGTGGTTATGCGTTTACTTTAGGTGGTGGTGCAATAGCTTGGAAATCTTCCAGACAAATTGTTATATCTAGATCTACCATGGAAGCATAATTCATTGCCTTAGATTTGACTTGTACCAAGGCCAAATGGCTAAGGAATTTATTATCTGATTTACCATTATCTGATTAGTCTTATACCTATTGTCTCTATTCATTGTGATAATCAAGCTACAATTGCTAAAGCAAAAAAATGCAAATTTAAATAAGAAAAAAGTGACATATTAGAATATGACATTATTCTATTAAACAGTTATTATCTCAAGGTGTTGAAGCACTTGATTTTGTGAGGTCTGAAAAGAATATAGCAAACCTTTTTACTAAAGGATTAGCTCGCAGGCTAGTCGTTGAATCATCGAGGGGAATGAGACTGAAACCCATAAATTAATCATTGCAATCGATACCTAACCTTTGTGATTGGAGATCCCATGAATAAGGTTCAATAGGTAATAACGAAGTTGATGGGTGACTTGAAAGAGCACTAAAAATATTATAGGGAAATTCCTTGGTCCTATTCCTATGGTGATAGTGCTCACTATTGTGATGGGTTGTAGGAAAAGCTTAGCTCTGAATGTATCCAAGGTAGGATTTATGCCGGGTGTTGGTCACAAACCACCTTTGGAGGATACACCTATATAAGTGTGGCAGTGGGGTTGCTGTTGTGGGACATTGGGTTGCTCCCTAAAGATACTTGTTGAAATAAGATGTGTGCATGACCGTTTAACGCGCAAAACTGTTCCAGAACCATGATAATTGCCCTGTACTGTGCGTGTGGCAAGTCTATGTTTGATCACAAGGACTTAGTTCAAAACTTTGTTTACTATGGTTTCTTCAAACTGAAACGTATTAATACTAAAGTGGAGGTTTAAGTCTGGAAGACACCTACACCCATTGTGCAGTAAAAACACTCTTTTCAATTTTAAATTATGTAGGGGATTGTTATTTTGTAATTTTAAAATTGTCTTCAATTTTATTTATTTAATTTATTTTATTTGATATCTGCATTTTTTTAGGAATAAGTTTATAACGTTATATTAGTTTCCTAATCTTTTGGGTTATCCTATAGTATATCCTAAATATATATCTAAATTATGGTTATTTAATTGCGTATATAATAAGACTTCAACGCTTTTTTTTTTCCTCTAAACAGACAAAAAAGAAACCTTTCTTCTCCTTTACTTCTGCTCTGTTATTTTCTTTGTAATTTTACTGTATTGAGTTTGCAAGTGAGTGTTGAACAATTTAAGGTTCGTTAATTCCCTTTGCTACACACAAGTGATTTTGAATGTCGTTGTATCTTGGGAGATGAACACCATTCAACTCGATGCAAAAGGTGTATCGTTCATAAAGAGAGCGTAATCTGCGTGTCTCAACCACCATTCAAACTTCTCTAAACTTTCTCTCTAATAATAATATTTATTTGTTATTTTTAGTTTATTATTAGTTTGATATTTTTATTCTCATAATAAATCTTATTTAATTTTTTTCTAACTACACACGTGGGGAGTTCTCTCAATCAATGGCAATGAATTAATTGTTTTTTCAAATGTCCACACCATACCAGGACATGGAATTGCTTTTTAGGTCCGACATTATTACTAGTGAAATTATAAGTATAGTCGAGTTGAAAAAGCTAAAAGAGATTTTTAACAAAAAGGCTTCAAAGAAAATAGCAGACAAAGTCCTAACAAAACAATTATGACCATTACTAGATATCCTAAAATAAACAATCCAATGTCCTCTCACATGAGAATCTCTACAAACCCTTTTCTGAATAGTGGGAGGGGAATGTGGTGTTGTTGCCTTTAGGTAAAGGTCAGAGAAGAGCAAAAGAGCGAGTTGGCAATGATGGTGTAATGTAGATTGGGGAGCAGATTGAGGCATGAAATGAGGCATTGCGGTCAAACTTATACAAAACCCCCTTTTGCATTATTAGGAAAACACTGAGCTGGTTTTGTACTTACCAGAAGAAAAGCAGATGCAATTATATAGTAATCAGAAAAATGTAATGTATACCAAAAACAAAGGCCTTGTTCGGTTTTTCTAAAAATTTTTAAGAAAAATTCTCTACAAATAAATTTTCAAATCAAACCAAACCAAACCAAACCAAACAACTTTTTGTACTTTTTATCTCTAAAACTGATCTCCCAAACTCAAATCAAACATACCCAAAATATCTAAAAAAATGAACTTTGAATCTATGAATTAGATTTAACACTAATACTAAGAACACGGAAATTACAATGGAAATTTAAAATTAAACCAGGATATGGAAAGTTAATATTCAAAATAAATCTTACTGTATCATTATAATCTATTATGTGTGCTTAACGTTTTTGTAAATTTACATATTTTTCATTTGGAGAGTGGAGTGATTTTTTTTATTTTATTTTATTTATCTTTTTAACTTTTTGACTATTAACCTAAGGTTAAAAAGACTCGGGTTAAAATTTTTAACTTCCTTAAATTTGAATCATGTTCTCAATATTTTTGATAAACAGTATCTTACAAAATTTTCGTACATACATAATTTAAGACCAAATAGTGTGTCAATTTTAGAAGATACAAGCTATTTTGAAGAATATATTACATTAAAATGATACATCATTTTATATTGATTTTAGGCATAATTGTTTTTTTCATTTTTCCATGGAACTTGAATCATTAAGCCCTTCTAAACCATTCCCTCCATTCTGCAAAATCTTCATTCAATATTAACCAAAAGTTTTCAGTTAGGAAAAGCTTCAAACACTTGGGTTACATACAGATAACTGGGTCCCCACCCTTGTCTTCTATTTTAATCCCCATTTTCATCCCGCTAAAGACCTTTAAAAAACTGAGCCAAAATCCTACATCCCCTTATCTTTTTCCCCACCCAACACCAACAATTTCTTTCTTTTCTTTTCCTTTCCTTTCTTTGTTCATTCAAAGACTTTACATGTAACCAAACATAGACAGCCTTTAGGTATCATTCCAAGCAGCAAAAACAGGCAAGTGAGCCATTGAGATTGGAGCAGCAGCCCTCAGCTGAGCCGATGGAATCCAAGCCAATGGCGGTTTTGCAAAGAGCATTGAGGGACCGGTCTTATCCGGGCTAGCTTCCCTTGAGCTGCTCAAGCTTGTAACTAAAGAGGAAGGATTCGAAAAATGAGTCCCGAGCTTCGCCGACTCATCCATGATTTGCTGGCTAGTATTCACTGTATCAATCCCAATCAAGTCCTGCAATGCCACAGTGAAAGAAGAGTTCCGATAATTCCCATTGCCGAGCTGTTTTTCATCGACAGAGCTCACACATGCATTTTGGCAAGCCACCATTTTCCAATCTGAGCTATTCCCATTGTCATCATTGTTCTTAGTAGAAGGGTTGTATTCAATGGTCGCAATGTTTGGTTCTCTCTCTTTGTTTCGCTTAGCTAGCTCTCCGGCAAGTAGAGTATTACTGGCACTAATCCTTTCCACATCGTATCGCGATATGTCAAAGTTAGTGACAGCATTTGATCCGCGGAACTTGATTGCAGCTATGTCATATGCTTCTGCTGCTTCCTCTTGAGTGCCTGAAATTTAATTCAAAAAAAAAAAAAAAAAATTAATCTTTATCACTAAAGAATATACATTTGAGCCTTTAATCAAGGAATTTAGTCAGGAGAAAACAGCTTTAAAGAAAGTTACAGTGCTCTACTGAGAAACAGCTATGCATACATACAGTATAAAGTAAATGATGATCAGCCTTATGAAAGAAAGCATCAATAGTTGCTCAATAAAGTAAAAACATGGGAGAGCAGACAGTGACATAAAAATTGAATCCTCCAAAAGTTTTTGAAGCACACAAGGATTGATGATCCTAATACAGACACAAACATATTCACTACTTATAAATTGATTCACTTAAATGATAATGAAAATGATTAGCAAAGTAACTTACTGAATGTGCCAAGATAAAGATCCTTGTTTCCGGCAACTCTGCCAATCCGAGCTTGCCATCTTCCATGCTGATGATGCCTGTAAAACCCATAATTAAAACTCAAATTTTAGGTGGGATTAAAAAATTATGATTAAAGAAAATGGTGTTCTATAAAATCGGATTGGGAATAAAACCTTGTCACTCCTCTGTACATCGAAGCGCCCCTAGAAAACCCACTACTTTTCCTGCAAAGTAAAGCAGAGAGACATATTAGAAATCACAATCACTCTATTTTTTCATTGTAATCTGCAATCAGTGTCTACAAGTAGTGTAACAGTTTTACCTTCTCAAGTGAGCAACAAATTCTTGGCGGGTCATGTTCTTCATATCCTCGAGTTCTTGCCGGTAATTCTCCAACTGCAAAGAGAGCTCAGCAATGGTTATTTTTATGTTTTTCATGTTTCGAAAAACAAAATAATGAAAATGTGTTTTCCATTTTATGCAAAAATCATTTTCAAATTTGAAAACTTTTGACGTATTTAAAAAGTGGATTCTTCTCGAAAATTTTCCTCCAAAAACAATTCACCAATCAAAATTTTGATTTTGTTATTTTTTTGAAAAATGAAAACAAAACCAGTACAGAACTGAATCATACCGGGAAGTTGATGTGGGTTGAGGGTCCCCAGTATTTAAGGGCAGCAAGATCATAAGATCTTGCAGCCTTCTCTTCCATGTCATAGCCTCCTAAAGTCCCCGCATATTCAATAAATTAAAAGGCAACAATAAAGTAAATTGTAAATTACTCGCAATTTCTTATTATTGTTAAAAGAAATAAGCTTACCCAGATAAACTGAAAAATTCATCATATGATTGGAATAGAATCACCAAGCATGAACATGACAAGTAATAAATATAAAAAAGGAGTTAGATCATGAACACAAAGATCCCAATATATTGCAGTAAAAAAACAAAACTTACAAACACAAAGTGTAAAAGAGGTTTTTGTTTTTGTGTTGATACAAACCTTGCCTTCCTTTCCTGGTCTGTCCTTCCTTCTTGCTACTATTGTCCCACAAATGTGCTTCAAATCTACCAGTCCATCTATGCCTGGTGGAGGTATATATGTATTGAGATTAAAATTCAAACATGAATAGATAAAAGAAAAAAGAAAACAAAGTCACTTCAAAATTAAAAAAAAACAAAAAGAAAATATTTGGCAGTGTCTAAAAACACTAGCAATCATAGTAGAATATTCGAAATTTTCACATAATATAATAATTTTTAAGTGTTTTCAAACAAGAAATCATTGGCCAAAAAGGCAAACTATAGAGAAATAGAATGGAAATATCAATGATAAATAAACACCATGGAGAAGAAGAAAGATGATGATGATGATGATGATGATGATGATGAAGGGATCAGACAAATCGGTATGAACTGACCTTGTGACACCTCTATACTGTGAAGTTCTTTGCCCAAAAGTGTCAATAGACTTCCTATGAACAGGTTGCTTTTGAGCCACTTTTGAAGACCCTCTCTTCTTTGTTTCAATGGCCATAATTTCAGTTACAGTGGGTGAGATCTGTCTTGGGGCTGTGACACAACTTGACTGAGAGCCAGGGCTCATTGACAAGCTTAGAGACTGTAAGTTCCCAGAAGCACCTCCATCACCAAGCATACTGTTGCTCAGCTCTGAATAGTAGTGATGACCAGCCATTGTAGAGATCTCAGTGCTTTCTTCTTCCTCCAATGGAGTCTGGTACAACCCATCATTGCATGAAAGCTCAGAATAATATGGGTGGTGATGATGAACTTCAATCTCTCTCTGGTTTTGCCTAAATGGTTCTTGATGGATAAGGTCTAGACAGTGTTGTCTGTTGTTTTCTTGCCCATCATTTTGGTTGTAATACATGCTGTCTAGGCTCAGTGCCATTGTTGCACCACCCAAAAAGTCCTCTAGCTTAGGGGTTGAATTTGGCACCATCCCTATACAACCCAAAAAACAAAAGAGTTCTTTTTTGAAAAAAACATAGAACACAAAACAGAAAGAAGGTAAAAGAAAGAGAGAGAACAAAGCAAAGCAAACCTTCTTGTTGTGATCTACTGAGTGCTTCCATGATAGAAAGAGAACTATCTGATTTAAAAGGCATAACAGACAAGGGAGAGTAGAAGCCATTGTTTTCTCCAACACCATAACAGATTGCAGAGCTGTTTAAGTGTGGAGGAGAGAGATAAAAGCTAGTTGGAACAGCAGTGATAGGTGAGGCTTGAGGTTGATGATTGAACTGATGATGATGATGTGGGTCTGAAGTAACCTCCATTTTTATCTGGGGCGAAAGAGAGAAACCTAACCAGTTAGTATTGCTATCGTTGCCATTGTTGTTGTCATTCATGGACTTCATCTTCTTCCTCTTTTACTCTTTCTTTTTCCCTGAGAATTTCGTTGTGTTTCAAGGTATGTCAATCATTGGGGAGCAAATGAACTAACCATTTCAAAAAATCTCATTTGTTTGCAGCCCCTCTCCCGTCTGATAAACTTGATTTTTTTGTAGTCTATGCACATCCCCCACAAAATCTCTCTCTCTCTCTCTCACTCTCTCCCCGCTTCTCTATCTTCAAAGAGAACAAAGCTGGTCCCTTTAAACTAAACAAAAAGAATGAGTTCCAGCAAGCAATGCTGGGGAGCACCCCTGCATTCCATAGGGATCTGTGTATAATAGTATTTTGAGGTGAAAAGGGTCAAAGACCCCCAATTCTTTTGCTTTTCTCCTCAACTCTCTCTTCCCCTTGCTTTTTTATTTTTATTATTTATTATTTTTTTATATTTTACATGTAAATGCTTGAGATCTCGGAATTTCGAAACTGGAATGCGTCAAAAAAAATTTTTTTTGGCTGTGTTGAATTAATGTTTCATTCTTTATTTTTTTTTTAAGGGTGGTTATATGTAAAGGTGTGATAAAAAAATTAGATATTTCGTATCAACTCAATTTGTGTGATTTAATAAGGTGAATGAGTTGAGTTGGATTGATTTGATGATAAAATTGATCGATCAGTTAGGCTGCTGGTTAAAATTTATTAATTCCATACAGTATTGTACGAGTTCCTACTATATTTTTATTTCAAATCAGGAAGACTCCAATTTCTTCCTTAATCTTCTTAATTTGAAATAAAAATATTGTAGAAACTGGTACAAAACTATATAGAATTAAAAAATTTTAACCAGCAGCATAACTGATCAGCCAATTTTATCACTAAACTAGTTTAACTTAACTCACCTACTTTATCAAACCACACAGACTGAATTAGTGCGAAATATCTAATTTTTTAGTACATCCTTACAAATAATCAACCTTGAAAATAAAAAATCCAAATCAACACAGTAAAAAAATAATAATAAAAAAATAATTCGAGACATTCGAGTGACGAAATTTCGAAGCCTCTCGTACAACTGTTATATATAAATGGTCCGGCAATGATTGGTGGTCACAAATTCTATGGATCAAATGGCCTAAAAATGCCAAAACAACGTCGTTTTGGGTACAAAACAATTTAAAAAATGTCAAAACGATATCGTTTTGACATTTTCAGACCATTTAAACTATAAAATTTGTGATCACCAAACATTTTCCATAAACGGGCAAAGGCCTCCAATTCTTTTGCTTCTCTCCTCAACTCTCTCTTTCCTCCTTTTATTTATTTATTTATTTATTTATTTTTATATATATTTATTTTTTGTATTTCTTTAGGCTCCGTTTGGCAAGAGCTAAACGGATCTTTTTTGGCTATTTTAACCACAAAAGACAAAATAGACTATTTTAGTCATAAAAAACAAAATATCACATCCAACCCATAATCATTACATTATTCTCTCACAAAAAAGTCAAAAAAGTCAAAAAGTCAAAAAGTCCTTCCCAAACTAAACTTTTTAGCTCAAGCTAAAATAGTCAAAAAAATCAAAAAATTAAAAAGCCAATCCATTTCCCAAACGGAGGCTTAAAGTCCTAGCATTGCTTGCTGGAACTCATTCTTTTCAAAACCCAGGAATGTGAGGAGCAAAAAAACCCCAAAACCATCCTCAGTCCTCATTTGAGATTATTAGACTTTGCTAATTAATGCTCAGGAAAACCCAACAATTCATTACACGATTATGAATATTTTCATTATATTATTAAAGAGATTATAACGATTCCTTCCTAATTTAAAATATTAATAAATTTTTATGGTTATTCAACAATCTTTAAAATGATATAATGAAAATATTCTATTATAGTGTCTGATCCAACTAACAAGAGAAAAAAAGTTAGGCTGCGTTTGGTTGTATTTTGTAATTATGATTTGAGAGTATGAATTATATTTTGAGTTTGTGGGGGTTTGGAATTATGATTTGAGTATAGAAAATTTGTTTGGTAAAGAGTTTTGAAAATAGTTTTGAGAAGGGTTTTGATTTGAGTGGGGAATTGTTGATGTAACATTTGATATTTGATACAAAAACTTACAACTCATAACTAAACATACAACTCAAAATTATTTTAAAGCACGTAAATTTTTTTAAAAATTTCAGAAAATATTTTTTCGTTTATATAAAAATTAACATATCAATTGTAAAAAAAAAAAAATCACTATTCCAGTCAATCGGCCGGACGTCCCGTTAGTCCAAATTTTGAAAAAAAAAAAATTCTGAAAAGCGCGGCTGCTGCAGAGAACTCTGCAGAGTTTTCCAAAACACGTTACCTAACCAGTTAGTATTGCTATCGTTGCCATTGTTGTTGTCATTCATGGACTTCATCTTCTTCCTCTTTTACTCTTTCTTTTTCCTTGAGAATTTCTTTGTGTTTCAAGGTATGTCAATCATTGGGGAGCAAATGAACTAACCATTTCAAAAAATCTCATTGTTTGCAGCCCCTCTCCCGTCTGATAAACTTGATTTTTCTGTAGTCTATGCACATCCCCCACAAAATCTCTCTCTCTCTCTCTCACTCTCTCCCCGCTTCTCTATCTTCAAAGAGAACAAAGCTGGTCCCTTTAAACTAAACAAAAAGAATGAGTTCCAGCGAGCAATGCTGGGGAGCACCCCTGCATTCCATAGGGATCTGTGTATAATAGTATTTTGAGGTGAAAAGGGTCAAAGACCCCCAATTCTTTTGCTTTTCTCCTCAACTCTCTCTTCCCCTTGCTTTTTTATTTTTATTATTTATTATTTTTTTATATTTTACATGTAAATGCTTGAGATCTCGGAATTTCGAAACTGGAATGCGTCAAAAAAAATTTTTTTTGGCTGTGTTGAATTAATGTTTCATTCTTTATTTTTTTTTTAAGGGTGGTTATATGTAAAGGTGTGATAAAAAAATTAGATATTTCGTATCAACTCAATTTGTGTGATTTAATAAGGTGAATGAGTTGAGTTGGATTGATTTGATGATAAAATTGATCGATCAGTTAGGCTGCTGGTTAAAATTTATTAATTCCATACAGTATTGTACGAGTTCCTACTATATTTTTATTTTTTTTTATTTTTATATATATTTATTTTTTGTATTTCTTTAGACTCCGTTTGGCAAGAGCTAAACGGGACTTTTTTGGCTATTTTAGCCACAAAAGACAAAATAGACTATTTTAGCCATAAAAAACAAAATATCACATCCAACCCACAATCATTACATTATTCTCTTACAAAAAAGCCAAAAAGTCAAAAAGTCATTCCCAAACTAAACTTTTTAGCCCAAGTTAAAATAGCCAAAAAAATTAAAAAGTCAAAAAACCAACCCATTTTCTAAACGGTGGCTTAAAGTCCTAGCATTGCTTGCTGGAACTCATTCTTTTCAAAACCCAGGAATGTGACGAGCAAAAAAACCCCAAAACCATCCTCAGTCCTCATTTGAGATTATTAGACTTTGCTAATTAATGCTCAGGAAAACCCAACAATTCATTATACGATTATGAATATTTTCATTATATTATTAAAGAGATTATAATGATTCCTTCCTAATTTAAAATATTAATAAATTTTTATGATTATTCAACAATCTTTAAAATGATATAATGAAAATATTCTATTATAGTGTCTGATCCAACTAACAAGAGAAAAAAAGTTAGGCTGCGTTTTGTTGTATTTTGTAATTATGATTTGAGAGTATGAGTTATATTTTGAGTTTGTGGGGGTTTGGAATTATGATTTGAGTGTAGAAAATTTGTTTGGTAAAGAGTTTTGAAAATAGTTTTGAGAAGGGTTTTGATTCGAGTGGGGAATTGTTGATGTAACATTTGATATTTGATACAAAAATTTACAACTCATAACTAAACATACAACTCAAAATTATTTTAAAACACGTAAAATTTTTTAAAAATTTCAGAAAATATTTTTTCGTTTATATAAAAATTAACATATCAATTGTAAAAAAAAAAAAATCACTATTCCAGTCAACCGACCGGACGTCCCGTTAGTCCAAATTTTGAAAAAAAAAATTCTGAAAAGCGCGGCTGCTGCAAAGAACTCTGCAGAGTTTTCCAAAACACGTTCCAAACACCATACTGAAAACACAGTGTAGAATCATATTTTGAAAACACAAACAAATAGAGCCTTAAATTTTATTTTTATTTTCTATCCATAAAGAGATGGCATTATGAGAATTTATGAGATAATATTATCCTATTTGAAACTGTTGGGAAATATTGTATTATGCTCTATTTATTGCCTAATTTGCAATATTGAGATGGCGATAACCGTTTTGGTAATTCGTAGAGGATTGCATTGATGTGTTATAGAAATTGCATACAAACTAGGTAAATTGAAATATTTACAAAGTCATGCATATCATTGAACATCTCATGGCATCATGATTTAATTCTCGCATCGTATTTGAGAAGTGCATTCAAATTGGTTTATTGAGAAAACTTGAAATGTGTTGAAAAATGAGATAAATACCTTGGTGAATCTGATTAGGGGTGTGGCGTGTTGAGAATTAAGTTGGCTTTAGGTCCATAGTCAAAGGTTTGTTGAGGTCTATAGTGAAAGTTCTAAAACACGCGCAAATTAGGTTCCAATTTCATTCCAGTTAAGAGCCAATAAAGTAGATTCAGTAATGCTTTATGAGACTACTAGTACTTAGGGATTTTCAGAGTCATATCTACCGCCCCATATTTTAATGAAATGAAAGCTTGAATTGCTTGTGATTTTCGAAAAGTGAATGACATGAGTTTTGGGAAAGCAAACTATGTTTTGAGCATGTCATTACATCGCATTCACAGCATAATATTGCTAAACTTCATGCAAATCATTAAGATTATCTCTGTTGGGTTTTATGCTCATCATAATGTGAAAAACCATTTACAAGTCTTAAGAGTGTGCCTTAGCCAAGGTGAAAGGCTTGGAGGATTTTGTTGCATAAAGCTCGTTCTTGACTTAATGTGAGCGGGCAAGGCCTTGAAACTTGTAGCCTTTACGACATTTGCTTGTATTTAATTCAGTACTACTTCTTGTAATCACATGCTATAGATGCACATCATATATCATTGCATATGATTCTCTTTTGTAAATCCTAATTTGAAACTCATGAATAGAATACAAAGATTTAGTATGATAATGATCAATGAGTTATTAAGATAACATACAGTTTCCACACGTTTCATATATTGATAATGAGAATTGAACTATAAATATGAGTTGAATTCGATGAGTCAAGTTTTAATATTTTGGTGGCGTAACACTTAGCGAGAACCACTAGAAGATACATGTGCTTAGGGGGATTCGCTAAGTTGAAATTAATGAAATTGAGAAACATTATTTTAATGAAATGTTCGGTTTTAGTCATCGAAAGTGTGGGGACATAATTTTTGAATGACAACACGTGGGCGAGGTGTCACCGAAGTGCCAGTCGAGGTGTCACGTGTCCTGGTCATGACGCCGAGATCATCTCGGCTAGGCCGAGGTTATCTGCGAAGATACCGGAATCCGAGATACGCAGATAAGGACAAGAGTCTTAGAGGGGACTTCAGTTTGGGTAAAGATAAGACTCTTAGAGAGTTTATCCTAATCCTACTGGGAGTCCAAGATTAGCAGTAATCCTAAGTCCATTGAAGCTAGGCTTCTATTGGGACTAGGTTTGTGTTGGCTATAAAAGAGAGGTACTCTCATGGGTCTAAGGTATGTTTTTTATGCTCTGTCTAGTGAGTTAAGCACTATTGGTTATCTTTGAGAGATAGTTTACTAACTTGATCGTCGGAGTGCCTCCGGGTGGATGAGCCACTGGCGGAATCTCTTCTTTCTGTTGCAGGTTGTTCGGGCTTAATCTATTCTGTCGGTGTTCTTCAGTTGAGTACTAAGTTGGCAGTGTGGTCGGAAATTGACACACACAAAAAGTGATATAAACCATTTTATGAAATGAGAAACCATTTTGAACATTTTATACATATGTAGGATCATGATCATGCGGATATGTAGAGACGAATTATCTTGTGAAAGATTATCTTACTGGACTATATATTCACCTTACGTGGCTGAAATCTTTTTCAGGTGTTGATGGTGTGCTCCGACCTTGAGGCAAGGCATATGATATGTGCATGAGCTAAGAGAGAGCGCTTTCGATTTGTAAGCCTTGGGCCCATTTTGTGTAGGTTGAATGAGAGTTTGTAAGAGTTATACCATTTTTATTTGATATAAGCCTAAGGGCATTTTAGTTACATTTACAGTTATTTCTTTTCAATTACATATGGTATATTCATTCCACTTATATGTTGAATATAGAATGTATGTAATTGAAGAATCTCATGTATTGAATGGCATTGATATATATGCACTAGAGAGGCCTTTTGATTATATTTAATATTGTCATTTCCTTATTATTTTGATTAACCATCATGGGTCGGATCCTGTAAATCTAAAGTGTGCCAACTCCGAACCCTCTAAATCTCAATATATATATCGAATCAATGAAAATAAAAATTATATGTGTGTCATTTAACAAATAAAGATGACATCAATTGAAGGATCTAATAATAGAGATCAGGTAGTAGTGTTAGTCTAGCAATACAATAACAGAGTATTATACACAATTGTTATTGTAACATCTCGATATTTTATTAACCGAATAAATCACCAAATCCCTTTATCAAGTCCATTTCCAAGCTACAATCGTGGAAGCAAAATAAGATAAATTAAACATTTAAAGTTCTCTCTTGCATAAATGCAATAATAGGATATTCACACAATAAATTACAACACATGCCATTTGGCTTACAATGGAATTATAGGATAAAAATTATTACAATGAATAGAGTTTATTCTTTTTACAAACATTGGATTTTGGCCTACAATCAATCATTTTCAAATCCATAATAAAGCAACTCATTGGCTCTGGACGACGCATCCGACTTTGCACCTAAAAAATTATTTAACAATAGGGATGAACACAAAGGTCCAGTAAGGATCTACGATGATTCCAATCAATAAAATTCTATAGATAAAGATGATCATGAATGCTCGATATTGTACATATATAAGTAAGGCTTCCTTTTTATATTCAAAATATACATACATACGTATACTTTTAAAAGAGAATCCGTCTTTAATATATCCAGAAAACTCGTTTCTTTTCTTATTCTTACTAGTTATTACTCGTATTTCAAAAACAATTTCCTTAATTCCATTTAGTTTCAAAAACGATTTCACATATAGTCGATTACATTCTCGTTGTAAACATTAAGTCACAAGTAACATACCTTCCACTATCATCAATCTAAAATTGCATAAAATCATATAATGGAATATAATTTCACTAACATTTTAAAACATACCAATTACACCCATCGATTACCTACCACATAACTATCAAAATCTCACATGTTATTTAACAATAAAATATTTTCATATACTCCTACATTTATCGGCCTCAATACGGAAGGACAATTGGGCATCTTTCAATCCAACATAAACAACTAGTTCAAACCATTTCAATACATTTTACCAGGTGCTAATTGAAAGGAAACTAAAACATATCACAAAGTGCCACGCTTTACCGATGGCTAGCTAGAAGGAAAGAGAAACCTCCATATAGCCCAATAGTCCACA